GAGCAGACACTGGTATATAAATTCCAGGGTTTATGCTGTCAGTGTACAACACGTTACCCCATCTGCACGCATGAATCCCACGCTATAAAATACCTAAATGCTTTAATGTTTCCTTCCTCTCCAGTATAACAAAGACATTCTAGGAGAACAGTCGCATTCAAATCCGCGCCGTGAATTTCAATTTCACAAAGGATCTCAAATGCTTTTAAAGTTTATCCCACACAGATATGTTCTGCAGATTTAAAGTAAGTTAAATATTTCTGTTTGAGTACAATCTGTAAGTGTTTGATTTTAGGTGCCCATTCATTAGTAATAATAATGCATTATTTCATTTAAAGTACATGCCTTTATAGTAACTGTATATCCATCCAACAGGCAACAAATTTGCTGCAGAGTAAACTGCGGTACAGGGCTCAAAACACACTCGGTTGTTAGAATACAAAAATTATTACCAAATACATTTTCTGCAATTCATTCATTGCTAAACAATGCAATATATAGTGAAGGTCATATATAATAGGTTTTCAATATTTAAAAAATTGGCATTTAAAAAAATTCTTATTAAGTCAATTTTAATAACATTAAAGGGCATCTTGAAAGACAAGCCATTTGGAGAGAGTAGTCTGATTGTGCTTAAAATGTTTATACAAGATATATTGAAGGAAAATTACCTGTTAAAGATGATGCAATGTTTGGAATGAATGAGATTTTTTTTTATGTATGAACTGTTTAAATAAGTCTTTTTTCAGTTACTTATTGAAATGATGCAATGTTTGGACCTGGTGAGAATTTTTAAATATTTAAATGAATGTGTCAAATATACATCTAACAAATGCAACAGACACATTTCCTACTATATATATATAACCTATAGTAAACACATGTTGTCTTGTCTATGGTTTTGTACCAGCTAACTAAGCAGTAAGCCTTAGAAAAACAGTTCCAGAATATGACTCACAGTCCTTGATTTCATCGAACTTAAAGTTGGAAACTGTCCACTAAGGCCCATATTTCATCCATCTTTAGCACTGGAAACATGTAGCATTTAACGTGTACAACAGACCGACACTGTTCGATGAAACAGAGACCTTTCAGTGCTGACATGTCACTGACGTTAAACCCACCACAGTTACGTGAAGTAACACTGAAACAGGGTGTGGTAAGAGTAACAATTATTGTACACTTTAAAAATAGTCAACCTATTTTTATATAATTGGTTCCTGTTAACGTAGGGTAACATTTTTATTTCACTGTTTTAATAAGCTTATTAAAAACTGCTTATAATATCTGAGAAATTTGACTGCCCGACTTAAAATGACTATCTACAAGCTACTGACTGACGTGTTTTCCCGTGATACATGCTAATCGTCAAAAAAAAGACATGTACCACACATGCGAACCCAGGCAGTAAAATAAGCCATCTGCTCTTTGTCATGCCAATCAATACTCTTTCAATCACCAAATGCTCCGAAACAGCCAAAGGAATGTTAACATTGGTTTTAAAGTATATTATTTCTTTTCTGCAAAGAACAATTTGCCAGCCATAATAAATAGTGTGAAAAGAAAATGTAATAGCAACTTCCAGAAACCACTGTATAAGCCAATGAAATCACTGTTAAAGAGCAATGAAAGGCTTTAAACTTGTGTGCTGATATATTTACTCATAAATTTGCATGTTGTTCCAGTGCCATGGAGGATATCACTAGTGAAGCACTGTCAGTCATTCTCTGAGGTGCTGTTTTGATGCCCAATTACTGCCCAGTTTCATTGTCAAATCCGGCTATAGTCCCCCAGTTCGGCACCATTGCATTCAAGTTTACCCCCATGAATGAAAGGGTCACCTTCCTTCAACTTTGTGTTGGGGGATGGGATTTGATTGCTGTCTCTGCATATGCACCAAACAAAAGTTTTGAGGATCCGGCCTTTTTGGAGACCTTGGAGGGGGTGTTGCAAGGTGCCCCTTTTGGGGACTCGATAGTTCTGCTGGGGGACTGTAACGCTCATGTGGGTAATGACAGTGAAAATGGAAGGGTATGATTGGGGGGAACAGCCTGCCCAACCTGCCCTATCTGAACCCGAGCGGTGCTCTGTTATTGGTTTTCTTTGTCCATAAAAAACACTATGTTCAAGAATAAGGGTGTTCATAAGTGCACCGGGCACCAGAGCACTCTAGGCTGCAGTTCAATGATCGATTTTGTAATCGTATAGCTAGATCTGTGTCTGCACTTGGGTGAAGAGCACCTGGTGGTGAGTTGGATCCAATGTCGGGGGGAGATGCCAGATAGACCTGGTAGACCCAAACATATAGTGACAGTGTGTTGGGAGTGTCAGGCAGAGGTTCCTGTGCTTGCATCCCAAGGAAGTCAGGAGACATTGAGTCTGAATGGACCATGTCGTGGGACTCCACTGCAGAGGCAGCTGTGCAGAGCTGTGGCCAGAAGGTTATTGGTGTGTGTTGTGGTGGAGAACTTGCCCATCACAGGGGCTGCGGTCACTGAAGTAATGAAAAAACTTTTTGGTGGTAAAGCTCCAGGGGTGTATGAGATTCTTAATGTTATTGGGCTATCCTGACAAAACTGCCTCTACATCATTGCATGGAGGTTGAGGACTGTACCTTTGGATTGGCAGACTGAGGCAGTGGTCCCAATCCTTAAGAAAGGGGACTAGAGGATGTCTTCCATCTTTAGGGGGATCACACCCCTCAGCCTCCCTGGGAAGGTCTATGCCAGGGTACCGGAGAGGATGGTCTGCGCATTGGTCGAACCTCAGATCCCGGAGGATAATTCAGATTCCGTCCGGATCGCAGAAGACTGAACCAGCTCTTCACCCTCACATGGATTCTGGTGGGTTCATGGGAATTTGCCCATCCAGTCTACTTGCATTTTGTGGATTTGGAAATCCGGCCATGTCCTTCGGGAGTCCGTGGGGGGTGCTTCAGGTGCATGGGGTATGGTGTCCACTGTTGCGGGCTATCAGGTCCCTGTGTAAACAGAACAAGAGTTTGGTTCTCATCACTAGTACTAAGTGAAACTCGTTCCTGGTGCTGCCTTTTGTCACCGATTCTGTTCATTACATTTATGGACATAAATTCCAGGCATAGCCAAGGAGTGGAGGGGGTTTGGTTCAGTGACCTCACGATTGCGTCTTTTTTGCAGTGAAACTAACGCTTTTTGCAGATGATGTGGTCCTGTCGGGTCCATCGGGCTGTGACCTGCAGCATGTACTTAGGCGGTTTGCAGCTGAGTGTGAGGCGGCCAGGATGACGATCAGCACCTCCTAATGTGATGCCATGGTTCTTGACCGGAAAAGGGTAGATTGCCCTCTACGTTTCTACCCTCACCTATGGTCACAAGCTTTATGTAGTTACTGAACACAATGGAGAAATTATATCTTTGAGCTGGCGTGGGAACGTCTTGGTTTTTCCCCTGTGAAGCTGGAGGAGGTAGCTGGTGGGAATTCCCTGCTAAAACTGCTGCCCCCGTGACCCCACCCCAGCAGAAAATGGGTGGATGGATGGATGGAATATCACTGGAAATATACTTCAGTTACGTTTTAATCAAATGATTTTCTCGGGGTGCCAATGATTGTGACAACATTTAACAATACTTAAGGTTAACAATTTCTTTCTTTCAAGTAGTTTTACCTCAATGGAAAGGTAAGATTTTGTGAATGTTTTGAGTGAAAGGCCCAGAGAATAAACAGCGAAGACATTTTTCATAGCTTGTATAACTCATATACAGTAAGCATGCCTGTAATTCAGGAGGGCCCTGTATGTATTACATATCTATTGGACTCTATTTGACCATTGTCTTAACTGTGTATATATGTATCTACTACTCTATGTAAAAGAACCATTGACAACCATTGACTAGTAGCGCTGGAAGAAGGGGTGCTGGGGGTGCTTCCGCACCTCCTATTGTCTGTTTTGTTAAAGGAAAACAGCGTTATGGCATTTATCTCGCAGTGGCTCACAGGAGCCTTCAGGAGTACCCCTCCAAAAAGACTATCATTGTTAGCTGTTGATAGTTACCAATTGATACAAAAGAACTTCAGTAAAGTCTATTGATTGTTCCAATTTTCAGTACCCAGAGCTCAAAAGGTCTTCCCACACCTAGGACCAGAAACGAATTTCCTGTGTGTGTGAACATACTTGGCCACTAAGCCTGATTCTGATCAATAGTCCTATACTTTGTTGACCAGCATCAGGATTGGTGGAGTGAGGGATATGTTTGAGCACCTCCGGAAGCTGAAGTTCAGGTGAGAAGGTCTACAGATGAGGAATTCATCCAGAGGGTTGCAAAGCTGCAGTACTGTAGCCATGACATGACATAAAGGAGCAGGAACTGAAGAGATTTATGAATGTCGTTTCCGTGGACCTCATGGAAGACGTACACCCCCACCCCCCTACTGATGGCTTACTTTTAGGTGTTTTAGCTGTCAAGAGTAATGTCAAAGATTTTTCCCGCTGCTCCTTTAACTGAGATGGAGAAGATGAGGTTTGATGTCTTTCCAGGCAAGATGCAGGGAACCTAAGGTATTAGGGGCTCCGTATAGTGTTGGTGATATTGGAACATCAATGGTGGTTTTGTCCAAGAATGTGAATTTGTAAAGACTTCCTAGTCCTTGAATAGAGTTGCTTCATCATTTGTTTAAACTTCCTCTCACACTTGTCTCTTTTCTAATGAATATGAACTTTAAAAAAATGGGTACATATGTATATATCCACAGAGGCGCTTACATATTGTTGTGTGTGAACCAGTTTTTTGTAGCAGAGCCAAGGAGAAAGAAAGCATATCACAGGCACTTTCTATAATTTGTGTTTTGAGAGGTGACGGAATGTCTTACTGAGAGTGAGGGGGGAGGCTGATGTCACAGTTAAAAAATAAAGTGAACAAAACCGGAAAGCAAGTTCTACAGACGTGTATCTAGCATAATGGCCTGCAACAGGCCTGCACCTTGTGATTTATTTTCACGACTTTTAAGACCAGCGCTGTTTTCGGTTAACATCAAAACCTATGCATGATGCTGACATTAAATGCCAATTTCGGTTTCCTGTCTCTTCTAAAATCGAAAAACCTTCACGTTGTCAGAAAAAATGAACAGTTCAAGCAGGACAGGTTACAGCAAAGAAGGGTTTGTGTTTGGTATTCCTCGAAATTTCTTCAAAGTCCTCGAGATAAATGCTTTTCTATTGCGGTAATGTCTGCAAAATTGTGTTTGCATGACATATAGCTACTGTAATAAAATGTTAAACATGGCAATGTCACGTAATTTCCACACTATCCTGAAATGAAAATGAATCAAAAACAAAGGCAGAATGACAGTATATTCTGCTTCCTTATTCTCCCAGGACAATCGAGAGTTTTGCTAATATATTTTGGCCCCAGCATCAGAGTTGTCAGCTCCCTCCACCTGCTGGGACATTCAGGCATCCCACCCTTTTCTGGGACACTGCTCCTTTATTCCCCTCCTTCTCCATGATTGTTTTCAGCCCCCTTGGCTCTCCAGACGGCCATGCTCTGCTGTGGTGGAGAGTTTTAAATGTCACTCTTCTCTTGTGGCACAGACCGCTGTTTCCTCTCCTTGGCACAGACCACTTCTTCCTCTCCTTAGCAAATGTCCTCTTGTCTTCACTGTTGATCTACAGCCTGTACAGTAGAGGGCAGGGAGATCATTGCCAGTAGTAAATACTACAGAGAAACTTAAGTTTCAATCTTTTTTTTTTTGGATCTTTTTAGAGAAGGACTAGTTTTTTAAGTTTGTTCGGCACAAACCTCAGTACCTGTGTTTGACTTTGAGCAGGTTTGAGGGGGATCATACCAGAAACGCCACTCCCCTCCAATCTCAAGACATCAAGATAGTTGTACTGTATGCAGTGTTACACTATCTTTCCTTGCAGTGTACTTAAAATGATCCACCATAGCAAGACGCTACTTCAACATTAGTTTAAATGCTAGAACTCGTGGCCATAGGTGGAAATTAGTGGGAGAACATTTTAAGCTAGATTTGAGGAACCACTTCTTTACACAGCGTGTATTTAGAGTATGGAATAGTCTTCCTGTTGGTGTAGCACAAGCTAAAACCCTGGGTTCCTTTAAATCATCGCTAGATAAGATTTTAACAACTCTGAGCTATTCGTTAAGTTCTCCCCAAACGAGCTTGATGGGCCAAATGGCCTCCTTATGTTCTTATGACATTCAGCTTTTACAGTCGCCATTGAGTAAACTGGACAGTTCTGTCTTAAGTAGAAAAAGAATCTGCATTTTCAGATTAGTATGTTGTTGATCTTCTGAAGGTCATGCTGGATAAATAATTAAAGCTGCCTCCCTCTCTCCCAGCGACTGGCTAAGAACCGTGACTCCGTCCCCTGCGTCTCTCTGCTAATATCGGCACAGCTGTCCCCAGTGTCCCCCATCTGTGCATGCGTGGCTTTAAATTATTATTTTTTTCTATAGGTAAAGGGAATTAAATGTGGGTTTCGGCGAAAGGTGTCACCTCATTTTTCAGCCATCAGCTTTTGTTTCCGTGTTTGTGAGAAATGGAGTGTTGTCTATCCGCCGTTCCGTAATCCAAGTTTAAAAAGCCAGAAGTGACTTGTTTCCCAAGAGTTTTTAAGAACAATGCGGTGTAGAGGCGATCTCTCAGTTTGCGTGTGACACAGGGGTGCATTTAATCTTACTACCAACAGCAAACGAATGGAGATTTTTCCAGAAAACACGTAGCTTTTGTGTGGGAACGGTCTTAGCAGGTCTCATGCATGATCCAGCCATAACAGACTGAACATATTAAATACAGAAAGGCTTCAATCACCTATGAAGACTGATGAGTGTAAAGGTCAAATGAAATCATCCATCCATTAGCTATGCCACGCGGAGGTAGACTAAGAAAGTCCAAAGAATCAAAAATCTGTCAATGATACTCTGAGAATCTGAGGCAAATTGTACCAAACAGGCTTGTTTTTGATTAGTTGTCTTGAGACAGTTTACATACCAGAAAGTTACAAGCACAGCCATGTCCAATAATCTTCTAATAGTGCTTTGATTGTATGATCAAACGCCTGCATGCATAACAGGGCCCGTTGGCATCGTTTGCCATGAAATTAAGCATTTATTAAAACAAACAAAATGACAATGATCTTTAGTTCTGTAATCAGTCTGCTCATCAGACTTATTTATTTAGCATCAACTCTATTTATGCCTCCTTTGCCAGTTTAATTATTTTTTTATTAACTTTTCCCCTAAAACCGGAATACATTAGGGAGCAATTTGGTTTTCTGTAGATCGTTAATTTTTTTTTATTCATAATGAGGTTACCTAAGATATCTACACAGCAGCGTGATGAACAGTGCTGTTATTTCTGTGGTTCACTGGAATTAAACAGCTGTTAAAATTAATTACTTTCAGAGACTCTGTTTCTCATAACACAGTACTAACTACGTGTAATTATTAAAACAACTAGATTTAACTGCAATCAAATTATGAGGAAAAGTTTTTTTTCAAAGCTAAGGAAGCAATTCAAATCCATACGTCTACCTTCCTTCCGTGCTGCTTGTCCAGTTCATGGTCAATTGATTATCTTACTTATACCTTAGACTACTGACAGTAAATCGTTATTTATGAATTTTGCATGGCAGTGCACATGCTAGAAATGTTTAAAAAATAACCCAATAAGAGGTGAGTTCCAGCAAGCAGTAGTGGTTTTCTTAGTGATTTAGAAAAGGAAATTGCGAGCAGAGTCTTGGAGATACACTAAAACAAGTTACTGTAAATATTCAGCACTATATAAGACTTTGAGGAAAGGTACAGGTTTGGTGACAGTGTTTGCTGATAGCTGTTTACAGTGATCCACTGGCACCCTAACTCTGCTCTACGCGAATTTCTTAGCTTATGATGTCCTAATGGATGGATGGACAGACTTGCCCCCACAGCCCGATGCGATTCCCTTTAGTGGAGCCCAAGCCAGTGATAACCTACTGACGTTTACTCTCATTCCTGTGCTTCGGGGATCATAGGGTCTAATAGAGCCTGCCTACTGCAATACATATTAAAAAGGACGTCATGACTGTATATCTTTGTGTGCATTCCGACAGCTTCTCTGGAGTCACAGTCCTCATATGTGTGGGATCCTCATGGACTTTGCTGAACGTCCCTCCCAAAGCCGTCTGGACATCAGCAGGCTTATTTATGTGTCTGTGATTTAATTAGCTTTTCAGCGACGGCGAATTCGGAGTTGTCAGTTTCCGCTGAAAGTCTGCGTACTATATATAATTGTATAATTGTGACTTCTTTTTTTTTTGTTTGATTTAGACCTAAAAACATTATTTTTTGAGATATTTACGAGATAAAGGGTGTTAAGAAAAACCTTATTTATTATCCTACAGTTTTCCAAGACGTGAGATGAAACCTTCAGCCCAGTTTTGAGCTGCTCAAACTTCCTGCTTGGAGCCTGAAGCTAAAAGAAGCATGCATGCAATTTTAGTACATTGCAGTAAGAAGTCAGAAAGGCTACATGACGCATATGTGTCTGTAAATACTACTTTGGTATTTATACCTCATTTCCTTAGTTGATGCTGTCTCTCAGTTTAATTTAAATAGCTTGAAACTCTACTCATCTGTACGGAGGCCTATTTCCTGATGTGGTTCTGCACCAGTTCTGCTCCTGCAATTAAATTGAACTCGTTTCGGTCATTATCCCTTAACCTCAAAGCCACTCGCCGCCCCCTAACTCAGTGAATGAAGTAAACGTAATATTTTGAATTTAACTAGAGACCATAACCATGCAGTATGTGGTACAGATGACCGAAAGTTGGACAGCGGTCACTCCAGGGCTCATCTAAAACACGGAGCGAGAGCCGAAGGGCACGAGGATGACTGACGAGTTTCATCTAGGCTCCCCTCTTTCAGCTCAGGGAGAACCCCGGACTGGGCTGAGAGGCAGGAGTAGGCCCAACACTTCCAGAGCCAGGCTCACGATGTTTAAAGGGAACCTGCATTGTGGCTGGCGTAGTGTGACGTGCTTCCAGACTGGAAGAGGGCTCCATCAATGGCTGACCCAGTTCCACTTTCACAGCCGGGCCGGATGTGGAGGAGAGCAGGGGGTTCAGAGGGACCTCTGGCTTCGTTCCGCGTACGTAGGAACAGCCATGGGCAGGCCGCGGAGAGGCCTGACATGGGACAGCTCACTCAGCACCACAGAAGACGCCGGCCGGAGCAGGAATGCTTTCATCCATCCGTGATATCATTTCTGTACGGTTCTCCTGGGGCTTAATGCTTAATGAGCCACACAGGGCTAGCAGCCGCCATCCTACAGTACAGACATGTATGTTCTTTAAAGGTATAGGCAAAGCTGAAATCGAGGTTTAGTGAGTTCTTTGTGTCCAAAACCACTTGCAAGGTACCCTCTGCCAAAGTTTCATGTAATTTTTCTATCATTGATTATTCTGTTTTTAGCAACATTTTTGATGCCAATTTCTGGGACTTAAATTTAAAGAAAATTTAGTTTTTGTTCAGTTTTACCGTTTTTTTGTATTACGCTATATTAATTAGAAATATATCTCAGCTAAACTGACAATTATTAATTGTTCCTGTACCACAAGAAAATGAGCATGAATGAATATGTACCTCAGATGAATTATTCAACAAAGACATGGGCTAAAGTGCTCACCATTGCGGTCAGGCATTGAGTTGCCTGGGATGGGCTCCAGGCCCCTTGATCGATGGGCTAAATTGTGGTATCTGTAGAGTAACAGTCCACATGGCTTGTGCACTTGCAATCAATTGCTGTTAACTTGCCTTCTATGAACCATGACCACATGACTCAACTCCCAGACTGAAAAGAATAATTCATATTTTATTTGACCTAAAAATAAAATATTGCATCCAGAAAAACAATTGATCTATTAAAAAAAAAGAATATTTTTTTTGTTCTTAATTTCTCATTCTCAGGACTGACCTTTATCATGTGAATGTATCAGTTACAACTCCATCACACTAAAAATCCATCACATTCTTTCATTTATTATGGAGGCCTTGCCCAGATTTTATCTATGCAACACTAATGTGCAATAGATTCACTTAATTAAAATCGAGACACGAAAGGACATCGACCTGGCTGTTCCAGGTCACGGTGAGTAAATGTGCTTAAAAAACACTTCACGAGCCGGCCGACGCTGTGAAGTCAGCTGTGCTTCCAGTTGGAAGACATACGTGCTGTAAGTTTCAAAAGAGCCTGCCGATGACTTTACCAGCTGTGTAGGAGTTGGAGATCCTTATCCGTGAATTGGGTCTGGAAAGCACACAGGCCCGGCGCGCTTGGCCTGCTCTTTGAAGGTAACCTTGTTTTACTTGCCCAGCTTCCCAGGACTGCCCCTGCCCCGACTTCTCAGAGCTCGCTACCCTCTGACAGAATCTGGGCCGCGGCACATTTGGCCTGCCATGTTACTGACTGTCGGGGGGGTGGGGGGGACAGTCGTCAGGCTACAGCCATTGATGTGTCCCATGAAGCAGAAGGGCTGGGCCCTTCCGGAGCCTAGGCTAGCTAGGAAGCTTAGCCATGAACAGACCTTGACTTCTTGACTAGTGACCTAAATAGGTGCCGGGTCATCTCCCGGAAGGTTCCATATTGTTTCCTTGACGTAAAGACATGAGATCTATTAACTCATTGATAGGAGTCAGAAAGCATCATTGTTTCCATCCATCCATTGTCTAAAGCTTGTCCTAAGCAGGGTCATAAGGTTCTATCCCAGAAGCTATGGGCGCAAGCAGGGAATCCAAAATTCCTTGTAATAACTGTGAATGTGTGGTTACAGTAGTACAAGAAGACTGAGCAGAGGTTCATTGTGAAGACCTCTCTATGTGGATTATTTCTCCTTGGTTGCTGTAAATTTTATGTGTATTACATGATATTAAATAATGTAACATCTGTAACATTCTCAATACCATTTTTGTCATTAATTCACCTATACAGTCAGTTCAGCTGATAATTAGTTACATGGTTAATGTTCTCTGTACGTTTACTAACAGAAATATGAAAATATAACAGGAATATGAAAATGCAGGTCATTTAATGGTGTATGTCTTCTGTTAGCGCTATGCTGTCCAGCCCTCTTCTGTGACCCAGCCTAGAATAATTGATTGGAAGATGGATGGATGGATGAACCTTCAGCCAAACAGAAAAGCAAAGCATCATTATGCTGATCAGCAGTATATCCATCCATTATCTATACCACGTAATCCATCTTGGAAGCTGGAGCCAATCCCAGCATCCCACTATGGGGCCAACACAAACAAACAGCCACACACACTTGCAGTCACACCTAAGGGCAATTTAGAGTAGCCTATTGATCTAATCTGCATGTCTTTGGACTGTGGGAGGACACAGGAGCACCTGGAGAAAACCCATGCATGCACAGGGAGAACATGCAACCTCCACACAGAAAGGCACCCTGAGTGACCCAGGGATCAAACCCAGGACCTTCTTGCTGTGAGGCAACAGTGCTAACCACTGCACCACCACGCCACCCCGCAGCAGTGTGTGTATATATGTATATGTGCCTCAGGGTGGTAATATTGTCAGATTAAGTTGAGCACATGAATGCTTATTATCGTCCTGTTACAGATTAAATGTCCCTCATTTCTGCTTCTTTGTTAAATTATGTATTACTTTGTTAAAAGAAAGAAAATCAATGTACCTAGCCTGGTCATACACTCACCTAAAGGATTATTAGGAACACCTGTTCAATTTCTCATTAATG